GACCACGGGGCGCACATGAGCCGCGCGAACCAACCGCGACCGGTACTTATAGTCGTTGGTCCGAAAGGGGTGGCCTTTGTGGCACCCTACCTATCTCCCTCTCCCTCTCTCCCACTCTCTCTTTCTCTCTCGCTCTCTCGTGGCAATTCCTCGACTCGTGGCAACGACGACTGGTACGCGTATATCCTCCCCGATCGATAGTAAGCGCACCCATGAAAGGGTCGCAAATATTCTTCGCGGGGCTGCGCGCCAAGAAGGGCTGACACAAGAAATTGTTGTTCCGAAAGTTTCCAAAAGGATAATACACTTCCTCCTTTGCTCTTTCAACCCACTGCTGACGTATCAAATTTGTTTTTATGAACGTTGACAGGACTCGTGTTAAAAAAAACAAATGAAGATAATTTTATCTCGAGATGATTAATATTTTCTTTATTACCATTCTCTTTTAATGAGGTAATTTAAATCTCTTCATATTTCAGAAAACCGGAATTATTAATTTTTTAATAATTCCTAATCTGATGTTATCTATGTTAAGTACAAAAATATTCATTTGGCATACTCTATTATTTGCTTAAAAATGTCTTATAAAAATTATTATTAAATTTTATCTAAATTAAAATTTGATGTAATATCTTTTCGCGTAATTTCATCTACGTGCAGTACGTAAAAGACAATGTGCTCTAATACTCTAAACACATCGAAACCTCTTTCATAAACGTATCACTGTATTTTAACAGCTGCTGGCAAGTAACACCAGAGGAAGTTCCGAGATGCGATAAACGCTCATAAATCGAATGCAAGACTTAGCGGTAGGTAATCCAGGTCGCGCGATGTTTGTACATTTCATGTCATTAAGACGAGATGGCGACTACTTCCAACGCACTACAGCAAGCCTTCTTATATAATGTGCTTTAAAAAAACTAAAATTGTTTCTTATAACTTGAATTGTGAATACTCACATTTTAAAATGTTACTGATCAATATCATTAATTACACCGTACTTCCCCGTATTTTCGAAAAACAGTATAATATCCCTGGAAATATCCGTGGAAGCCTCAAGAGTATTATTAAAAGCAATAATGTAGGTCAAATAATCATAGAAAGACTGAACCTCGATGAAAAAGATTTAGGCTTCTGCAATTATTAACAAAAGGATAATATTAATAATCAAAATGGGAATTATCACGACTTTTAGATACTTATTTAATGCGTTTTTTATTTTGCTTTCCATATCAATAAAAAAAATTACGTAAATATAGAAGGAGTGGATATATATAAGTTTATGTATGAAAACAAATTTTATTAAAATATCTAATATATATTATAATTTAACTTAATACACAAATCTGAATAATTTTGTTGAATCTTTAAAATAATTATGTAGACGCTCAAGTTGGTTGCCAGAATTAAAATTTTTTGCAGCATTGCTCATCATGCTTGAGCTTACAGCATTCACACTAAAAAAAAGTTTATTAAATCTTAAAACATATTTCTTTGAATATTACTAAATAAACATTTATTTACAGTAAATAAATATTTACTCAATAAAAAAACGATAGTTACATCAAATTAAAGGCTTTTACATCAAATATATGTTTATATCTAGTAAATATTTACTTAGGACTATAGAAACAAATATTTATTAAAAAGTTTTTTTTTGCATAATTATTTTGTTAGTCCAACAAAATTATTTTCAGATCTATTTCTAACTAAAATTTCAGCTACTCCAACAAAACCGTTTCTTCCGTGTGGAAAAATCTTTTCTTCAATTAAAGATGCATTTTGCGTCTTCCAACACTACATAAATTCGGATATCCATTCTCATTTATTCGCCACTCCGTCTCATGTATCTTCACTGCATTGCGATTTTCTGATCATCTCTCTCCGTCTAATCGAGATGAAAGAGCGCAACCGACCTTACGATCAGATTGGCTGATTGCTGCGAGCCAGGGATTCGATGATGATCCATGTGCGAAATGACGTGCGACAAGGACGGACGTGGCCGAGTGCAGTGACGATGCGATGATGACGGCAATTCTTCCTCTCGCAAAGTATGTCACTCGCGACGAGATGAAGCTACGCGAGGAAGGATAGATAATTGTTTTTTCACGATAACCATTGCTTGAGATTATCTTACGCGAATTACGATCGTGACGATTTTTTTTATAAAATGTATTACGTCAAATAAATGATTCGTCTGTTGATTTAATATTGCAGAAAACGTTTGTGAAGAAAAAAAAGAATTTTGTGATCGTGGATGTCGGAGTGCAATCAGCGTAAATGATAAAGACGTGACGTGAGATTTCTTAAACTATCCTGCGAGAACAAATCTCTTGAAACAATTGATAAAATCAAGAATGGAAGAGACGTCGAAGAATTGATAGTTCTTTGATTTTTATTTCGGATGGTATTATTGCCTACGCTTGAAAAGTCACGAATTCCTTTTTCAATAGTGATATCGTCTTTTTTGCAACAAGCGAAAAATGTGCGATAGTTCGACGTCTTTATTGTAGAAGGTTTTATGTAAAAATGTTAAAAGGAAGCGAGTGTGCGCGCTCAGACATTGGTACTTGTGCGTTTCGATCGTCACAATATTGAAAACGGTGCACGCCTGGTGCGATGCAATATTTCGAAACGACATGTTTCATGACAGCAGGAAATCGTTAGCAGCTTTTTGTCTTTATAGCTGACAGTAGTTTTAGACAGCAAGCGCATGCGGAAGACGCATCTGCCGTCGTAACAAATGTCCCGATCATTCTTCATTTTCATTTATTAAATTAAGCAAAGACAGTAAATTTGTTAAATTTTTTAAGACAGTATTTTATTTAATTAATCAACTCATAATATTATTCGAAGAATAATCTACTATTCTACTGGATGAGTTTATCCCGATTAGATTAATTCTTTTCCGCTTGATAAAGAAACAATCTGGATTAAAATTGATCAACTCCCGCTAACCTATTTAAAAACATATATTCGGTGCTGCATTAACCAAGCATACGTATTAGTTTCTTATCATACGAGCATATGTGGAGATAATCGTCTCTTATTGCACGTGTAGTTAAATAACAGCAACCTTGATAATAATAATAGTCAGCTGAGATTTAGTACAGTAAGTCGCATTGTCGTCCACGTTGCTTTTAAATTTTTGTCACGATGTGCAATTTTACGGTGTGATTATAAAGTTTATTGACGTAACTTGTATCGACACACTCGTTAATTCGTGACGTTTCAGGAAGAAATTTTTAATGCACGCGTAATCGTGCATCAAAAAATATTGTTTATTGTGTTCATAAATACGTGTTCATAAATACAAAACTTATCAAAAAAGCTGATACCATTCGTATCTCTTCTCCATATAATACAATTCAAAAATGTTATATACATAGATATAAATATAATTATCATAGTTATTTAAATTAAAAAATTAAAATAATTATCAATAATAATTATAACAAAATATACAATACCGATAATTACTAATATCACTTTGTTCCTGTAAAAATATTCATGATTATATGTTTAAGTATAGATGAAAATCATTGATATTGATACAAATCTTTTACAAAGACACTTTCTTATTTTTTAAAAACAAAACATTATTAATACTGATAAAAACTGATCTATTTAAATAATTAAAAAAATAAAAACCTACAATCCGTATATTTGTTACTGGTTTCTATATAAAATTAGCTAAAAATGAATTTCATAAATGCAAAAATGAAATGTTTACATTTCTTTGCAAATTCCGCGGGTTTAAATAATAGTAAGTATAATATTACATTATTTTATGTATTTATAGTTTTCTAAAACATATGTTTTATGTATATATTTTTTTTCATAATACGTCTTTAATAATAAAATCGAGACAGAGTGTAAACCGGTACACTTGTCTAAACAGACTATGTTGATTTAATCTTTATATAATGTTACATTATAGTATCAAACAGCCGTATCAAACATGAAAATAATTCGGTATTTATGGAAAATTCCTCCAAAAAACTGTCGCGTTACAGGTTTACATTTTGCCGAATAGTATAAAGTATACATATATAAATTAAAAAAATATATTTATATTGAAGAAAAAAGATTCTAAAAATTCTCATGCATAATACATTCACTTACAGATATTTACAAATGACTCCTGTAAAAAAAATAGAAAAATGACATTACTGTCTATTATATCAGTTTTAGGGCCCATTTTGGAAACTCTCATTTTTGCTTAATTTACAAAAAAGTTAATTATCGTAAAGTGGCAAACAATATTATACATACAATATAATAATTGCTGTATCATCCGATAAAGGACACTCTAATTCCTTTTTATGTTATTAAAGTTTTATCTTCTTTCAAGGAATATAGTACAAAAACACAAAGTCTTATGATGGTATCAGCGACCTTCTTCTATATCTTTCAAAGTGTATACATAAACTCTTACAGTTACAATTTTGTATTAAAGAAGAAAACTGAAAAAATAACATGAAAATGTAAAAAAAATTAAACAATATATTTTAAATTAAGATGTTTTTTTACTGAGAGAGAAAGAGAGAGAGATAATAGGTTTTCTCTTTTATTTAATTAAATTTATTGTCGTGTACAATTTAAAATTATAATTGTTCATAATAATATTTGAAATTTATGTTCCGCAATTCTTTTCTATATTTTCACACATTTTTCTTTCAATTTCTTTCTTTAACGTAAAATTACAACTTTGAAAAATGACAATGCTTATTCAGTCACATCTACGGGCTTTCCCAGATTTAGGAGATGGAAAAAAAGTCATTTTTTTCACACAAATCTTGCTTTATATAAGAAGAATCACCTTATCAGTATCAACAAATATTAGAGCACAATTAAGTCCAAGGTAGAAACACAAACGGAAGATACTTGCTCACGCGTGGGTATGTCCCTGATTTGTCGAAAGAGGTGGGAGCACGTGCCGTTGCCGCCGCGAATGCACCGAGAAGCACGCGATATATTAGTCTTCGTCGAGCGCACTCGCGAGATCGGCGGCCGCGCTAGCAGCGGTTTCCTCGATCATCACCATCCGGAGTTCGCGATTCGTAGATCGATCGATGATCATCATGGCGAGACACACGGTACGTTATCCGGCATCGTATCGAATCCCTTCCCTTTTCCTCTTTCATTCATTTTGCGACACTCGCCGAATGGAGAAACCGATTTCATCCCTTAAATCTGTTATTCATTCCTGACAATTCCCTCGGGCTTTTTCGATCAAATCATGGAGAGAAAAATTGTTTATCTAAGCTTAAGTAATAATATTTTTGAATTCTTGTATCTCTACAAAGCGAATACTTCTAAGAAGGAAAGGGAGATATGTATTTTCGATATCCTTACTTTTTGCACCACTTGTTCCCCGATCCATTCTCCTTTTCCTCCCGCGGTGCCTTTAAGAGGAGCGGCCGCGGAAATAAGTATCGACCTATCGGAGAACTCGCGATCTACCATTATTGTGACAGAGCTTTTATCCAACTTACTTCTGTTTCGATTTCACTCATGGGACAGGCACAAATGTCCTGACATATCGAATCGATAAGTCCGTGAGAGCACTTTTCGTCAGATGCGCGCTATTCGATGGAAAAGTTTCGAGGGTCCAAACTGTCTCGATTTATCACTTTCCACCTAAGCCCTCTCGCGTTCCTTTTCTTTGTCGTAGAATATACACGGTGATGCGCCCGAGGTATTAAACTCGTAGCAGTAAGTTATTTTTAGATTCAATTCTTCCGATATCGAGGTTGTCACCAATTTCGATTCACTGCGGATCTGTTGCGTCAATGTTGACTGACTCTAATCTCGATTTACTTTAACTTCTTTTTTAGTTCGTATTAATAAGACTATAAATTGATAGAACAAATAAATGCTAATTTCTAATTAAATAGAAATATCGACAGCTTTCTCCTAGCGTTTCAGAGAAAATTGGATTTTCCAGGTGACTTCGTTTCATCGATGATTAACGAGATCATTCTTCGTTTTTTTTTCCATGATCGATGTTTCAATTTTAAAGAGCAAAGGTACAGAAAGTTATCTTTTTTCCTCGTAAAAATAATGTTCATTGGCTGAAAGAAATGCTAACGATTCGTAAAATGAAGCAAAGCTTTTCGCGGTTACCGCATATCTAAGTTCAGAATTCGCCAATATACCAGCGCAGTTGAAAGTTTGAATGATAATATCTAGATTATCTAATTTTATTTTCTAAATTTTTTGTGCAATTTTTGTACGTTCCGTTCATTCATGTATATGTAATCGTAATAGAGGGACACGAAAAATTCGACACGAATTTCATGGCATATCCTGGCAATCCGAATTCTTTCAGCCTCTTCAACTTCTAATACTATTTGCCTTCGTGATCGTCATCGGTCAGTCACGAACAGGTAGGTCAATTGATTTAATATCTCGCTTATCTAATTATTAGTGTAACGAATACTCGGCAAATATGCAATTTGATCGTTATTTATGGAAATGTAGATATCGAGGGATAAATTCAATAAATTTTAATATGTATGTTGTTTGTATTTTAAACGTTGAATCATTTATATAGTTCCAAATACCAACGACACCAATATTTATAACAAGGATGAGACTCAATTCAGGAAACCGTTCTTTTTGGAAGAAACATACTTTCGTGTCTTTTCTTCGTTCACCTTCAATGGCTCGTGGATTTCTGACGACGAAATTATAGTTGGAGACGAAATTACAGGCGATATTACTATTACTGATGTAAAATCAGGAGAAACGAGACACATTTTTAATGGAACAGATTTACCAGTAAGGATATTTTATGTTTTACTATCCAATTTAATGTTTGAGATTTTAATTTGTAATTGATGTTTAGTTATCAGAGTGATACTACGAGTGTTTATAAATATCCGTGACACTGCAACGGAAGTTAAATAAAATCTTCTTTATGAGTTATCAATGTCATTTATAATTAAATATAAAAAGAATATTTTTCAATTTGTCAATACTTCCAATGAGTTATTCAGAACAATTTGTTCTACTTTACTTTAATATGTTTCTATCTCTCAAAATAAATTCCTACAAGACGTTTAGATTAAATAACAGACATTTTTCTTAAAACTCAATGTTGCAATTGTTTTAGCTGTCATACAAATTCAGTACAGCAACTATTTCAGCCGACAAGCAGTATATTCTCATTAGTTACAATTCTATACAAGTAAGTGATTAATTGTTTAATATCTTTTCGCTCGTTGAAATACAATGAGAACTAAAATAAATGGATTTGAGCAGGTGTTCAGATACTCGACCCTCAAAAATTATGTGGTGTATGACATTCAGAACGGGTAAGTTTATTCGTTTATATTTTTACAGCTTGCATATATACTGCCGTTGATAATATTAACTATTCCTTGATAAGCTTGATTGCGAAACTACGCGTGGCCTACACAGTGAATTTCTATCTTTTACATTTCTAAATGAGGCAATACGTTAATGCATTTGGGTCATCACTTTGTGATAGGTTTCAAAGACACACGAGATAATAATCGCATATATTTCTTTAATCAGTTTCAGTAAACTTTACATCTGTATATCTTCTTAGAAATTTTACTTATTATTTTAATGTTCAATCATTTATTGTACAAGTATTTCAAATACATAATATTTCCTTTTTTAACACAACAATTTCATTGAATCCATTCAGTAGATTTTTTCATTTGTGTTTTATTATTATCTCCAATTAAATCTTTATCTCAGTCATAACTGACATAAAAATTGTGTATTTATGTTTATATAAATATATTTATAAACGGACGTTTTTTTCCATCATAAAAAAAATACTTTTAATAAAATGTTTTCTATATGTTTGCAGTGCATTTGAAGAGATCGCGAATGAATCTTTTATCTCGTTGGCGTTATGGTCGCCTATTGGCAGTGACTTGGTTTATGTTCTCGATAACGATATTTATCATATGACTTTCAATCGTAGCCAGAATGTAGTGCGAAGATTGACAACGAGCGGCGAAGCCAACATAGTTTACAATGGAATTACGGATTGGGTATACGAAGGTAAATTTTATATTTTAATTATATTTTATATCATACATAAAAAATATATATATAATATGTAAAAAATATCAATTTTAAAGAAAAATTGTGCAAAGTATATCGCGTCAGTGACGGATAATTACAAATAGCACAATGGTGAATATTGATTACAGAGGAAGTATTTCGATCTGCGACTGCAGTGTGGTTTTCACCGGATGGCCAATACTTGGCCTTTGCAACTTTCAACGATACTGTAGTAAAGGACATGGCATATTTTCATTACGGCACTCCTGGTTCTCTTGAAGACCAATATCCTACGGAAGTGAAGATAAAGTATCCCAAGGTAAGATTTTACTTCAAAAAGCTTTTCCAAATTTACATATTCAATATAAATTTGTCTGAAGAACAAAATTGATATTTCCAAATATATATTTCTAAATATTTTAAAACATTTCTAAACTCGATAGTATCTTTTAAATGTCTTTCTCTTTTCTACTTATATGTATCAACTATTTAGTTTCGATTATGAAAAATTGGTAGTAACATTTTATTAACAATGCAGCAACGTTACTAAAATTATTCGAATTGTTCCGACATGATAATACTGATAAGTCACCACAGAAAACTCGGTTAATCATCTCCACTGGATGAAATCGGTTATTGCCGTAACGAGTTGAAAGGACCGCCGTTCTTCCGTTTAACTTGAGTTTATTCTACCATAGATCCATTTTCCGCGTGCATGTGTCGGCACGTGCGGATAATCCAATTGTCGAAGTGCGCTGGCAGAAGCAATCTTCCGTGAAAAAAGCCCGCAAACCATTTCTGCTTTTACGTCAGGTCCTCATTTCTCAAAAGCGACAAGCGGATCTTTCTTCTTTATTATATCTTTATTAATTTTTCGAATTAATCAAATTAAAATTATTCAAGTGATTAATTTCTAATATATTTAAATATCCCACTTACGCTTTTTTTTTTATTAAATAATTTATGGCAAAAATTATACACACATTTACACATTTTTTTGAAAGATATAGTGATAAAGTAATGTTCTCAAAGAAATATTTTAAAGCTCGAAATCTCTCAGCTTTCAAATCCTTTCAAGCTTTTTCCTCGGTGATGCTTCTGCACCATGTGGTACCATCTGAAAGTCGGATGTGAAAAATTGACAAAAAAAATTTCAACTCTGAGATCATGTACGAAGTCGAAAAATTCTTTTTCAATTTCGCTTGAGATCTTCTAAAAGCATATAAAATATCCTCTCAAACACTTTAAAAATTAAGTTAATTTTTTCTCGCGAGTTACAGTAATCGATATTGATGTGTATAAAAATACATTTCAACTACATTTAACAATTAATATATTCGGAAACTTTAATTATCTTCTATTATTTCTAGAATAAAATATTAAATATTTTAAGCGTACTTTTATTGATACGCATTAAATAAAATTAATATTACCTACCTATAATGTGATAAAAAAAATATCATTAAATATTTACTTTTAAAGTAAATTTCTTTTCAAAGAAATTATGTTTTCTAAGAGAAGAATTATCCTACATTTTTTATTTTTTTCTTTTTATATAGAAGTATCACTACTTTTTCTTTTTCGGTTTCAATAACATATAAAGATGTTATCTTTAAAGTGTTTTTACGATGTCGTATATACCTTGTACTTATCTATAATATCATTTATATCAATGAAAAAATATCATTATATTTTATATATTTTCAGGCAGGTACACCGAACCCGGTAGTATCTCTATCGGTAATCGATTTATTCGATCCATTGTCAAAAGCAGTTATTTTGAAAGCGCCCATTAATGAGGTGACAAGGCAAGTGATTTTTGTGATAACAACAAATATTTTTGTCTTCGAACGATATTATGATCATGTTTAACGTACTAACATTTACGTTCACAGTGACAACGTTCTATACGTCGTGAGCTGGTGGAACAAAACACACGTAATAGCGACATGGACGAATCGCGTGCAGAACCAATCCCAGATGACCATGTACAGTATACAAGGTGATGCCAAATTGGTTTTGTCCGACGAGGAGACTGAAGGCTGGCTTCAACCGAATCGTCCTATAAGAACTCGTGATTACATATTGCTTTTACGACGGGAACCTTCTGGCACCAGCGCCGGCAGATTCCGACATATAAACAGGTGAGTAAAAGCTATTAAGATGTGTATTTGTGAAATGAAGATACATTTATAAATAAATAATGTGAAGATACATTTACAGATATAGATAAATATCGTTATTTATTGAACATTTTATCATAGAATCAAATCTTTTCTCAAGCTACTTTATAATGAGATATAAACATATATTTATTTATAAATTAGAGTATATCTTTATAAATTCACGAAGAAAATTACGATTCTCTCTGAGAATATTCTGTGAGTTTTCACATCTGGATTCTGAATAAATCGTAAAATTAAGTTTCTCCAATGTAATCTTGTAGCTGAGAAAAGAGTTTGACATCGTGATTCCCAAAATGTCAAAAATTTTTTGAAGTTTGCTACCTTCTTTTCGTAATTTTATTCGTGCCATTTCGTTAGGTATGAATATAAGGATGGTCAGTTTATTATGCCATTGGATCTAACGCCCGGTCCCTCCGAAGTTCACACGATCCTAGCAGCCGATTCGCCCAGAGGCAAAGTTTACTATCTCGCCACTGCGCCGGGTGAACCGTCGCAGAGGAATTTGTATTCGGTGCCTCTGGATGGAAGCCAGAAACCGACTTGCATATCTTGCAAGTTGCTCACGCCGGAAGGTAAGTCCTCGAAATCACGAATATGAGTGAAAATAGAGCGAGCAATCAAGGGAGAGAGAAAGAGAGAGGAGGAGGAAAAGTAACATTTGGTATTTTTCATCAATTTAGACGATAAGCTTCACGTTCATGCACGAACGTGATGGGTCTATCTCACGAGAACATTCAACGACGTCAGAATATTCTATTTAAACTACAGCGTCTCTCGTGGGGAAAATATTTTACGCAAGAAGCATGAAACCTTCATAGTCCTTAATGCCTGATCATTCGTTTTACTTAGATTCGCGTCCGACCGTCGAACGAGACCTGAAGCTCGGGAGATGTGTACTTAAGCGGCGTCCCATAAGTGGCGGAGGAGAAATTTCGGGACTCATCGTCGACGGCATTTGTAACTTGTTCGAGCGATAGGTACACGTTCCAATTAAAACGGAAAGTCCATCGGGAGTAATCTCATCTGACGAAAGCCGCAACTCGCTTTCATGAATATTTAGCACGTGTATGTGTGTATATGTGAGGGGGTTAGCAGACTCGCGGGAAAGATCTACGCGAAGTAACGATATGATGTAATCTACGGGAACTTCACCCCAGTAGAACACACATCGTCCGCAATTTTCCCTCGCATATTTCTGCAGCCCGCCGAAAGTTGCGCGAATTCAGGTAAAAATTTCCCAATTCTTCTCCCGTATGGATCCGGCGCGCGCGAACTTATCTCCTCGGCTACGCGAGGAGATTCCAAAAGATTCGACTCTTAATTCTTGCGCGAGACGTCTCTCGTGACGACATAAAAGAGGCAAGACTGAAATATTACTATTCGCGCAAGAGTTTTTCTGGCTATCAGTGACAGCTGCGTCTACCAGACTGAGCGCTCTCTATTGCGTGAAAAAAAGATTGATTCACCAGACTAGTTGCGCCTGCGAGAAAACTCAAGTCTATGAGAGGCTTGTAGCTCGACTGATATACTCTACATCCGTTAAAATACGATGTTTGCTGGAATTTATTTCTATCGGCGAAAAGTAGGAAGTGTTGAAATTTATACCTCTCCTGCTTTTCTTTCGATGGAAAGTTAGCAACATACGTTGGTAGGCAGAATTCCATGCACGTTTCGATATTACTTAAATACATACATCGGAATACATAAATTCGAAAATGAAAGCGGAAATAACTATGCGCGAGAGCAACATCAAATTTGGAGAGAATTGAAACGGCAGGAATATTTCGTTATGTAGAAGAAGGAAGTGTAAAAATTCTCTCTACAGAAAAATTCTCACGAATTTAAATGTTGCAGGAAACAGATGCACTTACGCTACCGCATCTTTTTCAAGACAAAGGTCGTACTACGCACTTACTTGTTCCGGGCCCGATCCAATTACAGTGACGATTAATGACAATAATCATCAGCCAGTCTTGACCTGGAATACTAATAAGCTGGTGAGAATACTTTTGTCACGACGATTAATGCCGCAACAAAGAAATTTCAACATTACCGTGAACGGTTATGACTGCAAAGTCAGGTTGCTCTTGCCGCCAGATTTCGACGAAAGCAAGTCATACCCCTTGATGCTATTCGTGTAAGTACCCAAGTTTTTCTAATATGAATAACGAAATTTGACAATGTAAAAATACCAGCCAACATTTTTCTACATGATAGTACATTAAAGGAAATTTATACTTTTACGCTTAGCAACAAGATTTTTTTATTATAAAGATAAAAATATAGAAATGAAGCTTATACTAATAAAATTTAATAACGTAGGTATATATTAGACAAATCTCAGTTTTATTGTGAGGTGTATACATTTCCGTATTGGTCACATTATGTTTTAAATCGTGCTTGATTCGAAGACGAATGTCTACGAATATCTTTATGACAATATCGTGTATAGATAAAAAAAAAGTTTAAGATAAATTTTTAAATTTTTCATAATAAAATAACAGCTTTAAGAAAAAAAAAACATTTTGCTTAGTAGAACCTTCTTGTTTTGCACATAGATTTAAATAAATTAAAATTTAAATAAATAGATTTAAATAAATTAAAGCCATAGTTTTTCTTACTATTTTATCACAAGTCTAATTACACATTTTTCAAGAAAAATTCACTTTTTTCATTGTGTGTTAGTTTTATATATATATATATATATATATATATATATAGTTTTTTTAAAGATTTGACTAGGACCGAGTGTTAATGTTTACTATTATACATATATCGTTAATGCGGCTACACCACAATTAAAATCGGCACACGTTATGATTGATCAGCACGCGAAAGGATTGCAATCTCCATTTAAAATTGGATCGAGTCTGTTTGCTTGGCCGATTCATGCCGAGACTTTTGAAACGATCGATTACCTTTAATGACCCTCGCTCACTTTTTCCTTCTTTTTTAAGAAGCATTCGCGACGTATCGAGCGTTCCATTTATTTAGAAATTCATGGTACCCATTTGTAGCTCGGAGATGGATAAAATCGAACGCCGCGTGTTGAAGGAGATGAAAACTGAAAGCTATTCTTCGATTCGCATTTTCATTTCTGTTAAACATCTCGTAAAACATTAAAACCCGCAGCTACGCTGGTCCAAACACAGTCAGAATCATTGATGAAGCCAGGTATGGATACGAGCATTATCTGACGACCAACCGAAGCATAGTTCATGCGTCGATCGATGTAAGAGGATCGGCCTTTAAAGGCAGTAACATGCTCTTTGAAATATACCGGAAGTTGGGTACCGTAGAAATTGAAGATACTATCGCCGTCACCGAGTGAGTAATGCGAAACCGATCAAAAATTACTTTGTTTCCGGCAGTGAATGTCGCTTTAAAAATAAAAACGTCCTTTGCCATAGAATTTTGCAGAAACAGTATAGTTGGATCGACGCGAACAGGACCGGTATATGGGGCTGGAGCTACGGTGGTTTTACTACTGGTATGGTGATGATCCAAGATACCAACTCTGTCTTCAAATGCGGCATATCCATCGCGCCCGTATCTTCCTGGATTTATTACGGTAATTAAAAAGAAAAAGAGAATTTCATTTCTTTTAGCACTAATTTTGACATCCTAGGGTAGAATAAGGCTTTTTCATCTATTTCTCGCAATAATGTTTATATTTCTGAACAGCGCGCATATCGAATTTTTAACGTTGTGCTGTCAAAGAACAATCATGATTGTATTGTATAATGTAGTCGTAAGCTACCGTAAAGATATAATTTGCTACTGTTAATTTTCATTCTACTTTCAAATTAAAATTGATAGAACAGCCCCACCTTACCTTATGATGATTTCAAATAATTTCGGCGTATTATTAATTTGAACATCGAGCTTCAGCAACATTCTCCCGATCGCTACCCGATTTATAGATTCCATCTATACGGAAAGATTCATGGGTCTGCCAACTCCAGAGGACAATCTTGATGGTTACAATCGCACGGATATTTCACGACGATCGGAAGGAATGCGCGGCAAAAAGTACATGCTGATACATGGTACCGAGGATGACAACGTGCACTACCAGCAGGCGTTGGCGCTTGCCAAGTCGTTGGAGCATAATGACATCCTGTTCGAACAGGTCACGTACACGGACGAAGCGCACTCTCTCGAAAACGTGGCCCCTCACCTTTATCACACAATGGACAAATTTTGGGGCGAATGCTTCGGGTGGGGAAGAGATCACTGATCAGACTCACTAAAGAAGAGAATCGCCTTCACGGCCGCAATCTCGTTTGCGCTGTACGTCAGGAACCGTAATCTTAAATAATATCGCATAAAGGAAATATTACAGATTTCTAAACTAAATACTACATAAAGGAAATATTATAAATTTTCCTAGTATTTTCGTATGCGATACTTTTCAAGAATTAAGGCTCAGATTTATGACAAGAAACATAACTGGGATGAATATCGAGAATAATCGAAGACTTATTTTGAATTTGTTTAGACTTGATTTTGATTTACATAAATTCGACGAAAGAAGTACTCAGAGTGCCTCTTAAATATTAATGACGTTAGAGTGCTTATCATTAAAGTTAAGATTGGCTGTTCTAAGAACTTTCGACCGAATCTTGAAAATGTCGAAAATAACGATGGAAAATATTATAGAAGTAAATTTTAAACCAATGTAAACATTTTATTTTTTATCAGTAGTCAAAAAAAGAATTTATATAAAAATATATTGTTTGAGAAAGGAAGAAAACTTCATATCGATATATTTTACAATCGTAATATTTGGTATTAACACCATTAATATATTTAAATAGATTAAATTTGATCGTATAAAATTGACCTAAATTTGTATGAAAGAGATAATTATCTAATATATTTGCCTGTGTGTATGTTATTAAATTTATCTTCACGTTCATTTCATTGATCTCGATGGAAAATCTCTACCAAAGAAATTTTTGCCTGTAAATAATATACACAAAAGTTCCTGTTACTATTTAGTGCCAAATATTAATTGCGATTTAATAATTCTTGACTTGTTCATCGATCAGAATGAAGAAAGTTCGTTCGTGTCGTAAATGCTATGCACGAATACGTGTTAGTTAAAATTTATAAAAATATATAAAAATATATAAATCTCTTTTCTTACATAGAATGGCATCTACTCTTCAAACGTGCCTTTCCATCTTTTATATCGTCCTATAAATATATCCAAGTAAATTTATTATATCTTTTGAAATCTAGCACAAATAAAAAGAACTTTTTCGAAGAATAAAAAAATATATTTTCTATATTTCACAAGATTAATGTCTTAACCTGTATATTTCCTAATCCATATATTTTCGTATACCTAGTAATTATAGTTTTTATTATAATAATTACGCGTTCTTAAAACGGAGCCAGATTATATTGATACATTCTTTGAATAATGCTAATTTATACACTTGTTTTACATTAAGCATATTTTGTAAGCAATTGTCGTTGCAGAGGTCATGTACGATGTACGTCGATAATTTAATATTAAAAAGAGAGATTTGCAATATAAAAAATTTTATTTGAAGACTAGAGAATTTCATATTAATTTACTTTCTAAGAATACAAACAGCCGTAACCAATCGTTGTTGTTCATAGCACAGCAAATCTCAAAACCTATCTCTCTGCTCAATGACCTAGATTTTCGTATTTTCGGCCAGAACAAAATAAGTTTTGTTTTCCTTTCTTTTTATGGAATATAATATAATAAACGTGTATAATATATACTTCTTTTGTCTCGTTCTTTCAACCGCTGACGATTATATTTTTGTCCATCACATCGTTTTACCTGTCCAACTCGATCAGTCGACCCGGACCGCCCAGCGCGCTCGGACAAAGTCACTTTTGGAAAAATTTAATCATTCCATCCATCGTGTCCACGTATCCCCTTCTTGTATGTTGAGTGTGGGCGAATTTTCGAGGCAACTTGGCTCGCTGACCTGGAATCTTCGACAGTTGGAGAGAAAAATGTTTGCTCAAGCATCGATCGAGTTTTCACGAAGTTCATGACTCTTCTCGGTCAGCGAAGATCAACAAGATTCTTGAATATTTAATTTAGATTTTCAATTTTTAAATGTTATTTTCGATATTGCTTAATCGTCGCTTTGTATCGATATCGCTGTTATCAGCGATCTTTGCAAGAGAACATTTTTTTCCGTCACATTTTTTTGTAACATTTTTGCCGTACCTTTATCGTTTATTGAATATTCACTCGTGTCTGAACAAAATTTCGCGCGTTGCGCCGATAAAGTATGTGCCAAGAAATTACACAGTTCCATTAATTGTTATTGCTATTTCGTTTTTAATCATACACTAAAGGATTTAAATTAATTGTAAGTAAAATTACGATTGAAAACCATTTTTTTTTTAAAGCCAATACAAGCATTAATAATGAAGAAAGACACGGCGATAACCCGAAAACCTTCTAGTATAATTGAAGAAAATACCCATGAAAGCCTCAAATGCGTCACCTTATTATGATGTAAATTTTTAATAGAAACATAAAAAGCGATTAATCTCATCATAATGAGTAAAGAACAAATGAACAAATGAAAAAAAAATGACGAGAGCAGTAAAGGTTAATAATAAACATATTTTAATAACAAAATAAAACATACTCTTATTAATCTATTGCTACACAATATAATACGGATGCGACACACTCCGCTCACATAATAGCATTAGAGACAGTAGGATCGATATTTTCATTCTCTCATATATTCACATCAAGTTGTATCATCGAAATTGCAAGGAAATAATATTAACGATTAACGACATCAAATATCCACCTCGATGAGAATTGAAGTGAGATCTCTCGTCCGTGTATGATATATACACACACTTTAACGATGCTTTAATAGCAGAAGAACATCGCGAAGGTTGTTTTGGCACGCGATAGATAATCAAATTGATTTAGGTATATTTTGGAATGATTCCTTTTCGATAAGATCAAATTGCTGCGAATACATTTCTGTAGTCTTAAGATCACGGTTGGAAACTAATCAAAACTCGGATTCTGAATATTCTGATTAAATGTATAATTAAAAATATTTTATATAATGTTCAGAATATTTCTGTCTTGTGCCGTTAACGCACAGAACGTACAAATTTTTTCAAAATTAACTAGAAATAATTTAATCAAAGTCAATGGGAAAATGCAAGCAGTAGTCTCTAAAAATAGTTAAAAATTTTATCTCTTTGTAGGCACAGTGGATTTTTATATACGAGTCTAAATTTTTTT